CATTCTTGGGATATTTCACTTAATATAATGGACTCCAGTTCTACCCATGTTGCTGCATAAGGCATGATTTCATTCGTTTTTATGGCTGAGAAGTGTTCCATGTCATATATCCCACATTTTCTTTATTCACTCATGAATTGATGGGCAATTAGATTGAGTCCATATCTCTGCAATTGTGATCATGCTGAGACAAACATTTGAGTGCAGATGTATTTTCGTTAAAATAATTTCTTTTCCTTTGGGTATATACCAGTAATGGGATTTCTGGATTGAACAGATCTATTTTTAGTTTTTTGAGGAATCTCCACCCTGTCTTTCATAGGGATGGCACTAATTTGGAGTCCTATCATCAGTGTATAAACATTGTTTTTTTCTGCATGCATGCTATACTATCTGTTGTTTTTTGACTTTCTCATAATGGTCATTCTGATAGGTCATTTATTAACATAGGAGAGACTCGACAACTTTGAATATCTATGGGAAAGATGTAGGAGAGGGTGAATACATAGAGAATTACCTGGATAATTCATAAGCCAAAGTTCCTAGGAAGGTCTAGGTAGAGAGAATCCAAATCAGAGGCAGAGGATTGCTATCAGGAGGGGGCATAGATACTACTGTTTATAGGAGGAGAACAAGGATATAGATACTGATGAGTTTGTGAATCTACCATGAGAAACTGAGGAATTTCCATCTAATGTTTCTGCTATGTTTGTGAAGCAGTTGGACAGGTTACCTGAGAGGGGAGATTTAGCAATTGAGTGAATTTAAAACATTTGAAAAATTTCTTGAAATAATTAGAAGAATGAATCAACCAGAGAAGGTTATTGTAATGAACTTGGAAATTAAGTAGTCATTTGAAGGTATAGTTATAAATTTTAATGAAAACGGCCTGCCTTTGAGCATACCTTTCTATAGGAACTTTGAGTTACACTTGTGCAAATTTGAATTCTGTATGTCCAAGATGGTGGTGGCACAGTACCATAAGACAATAATAGGAGGACATTGACTCTTTATATTTAGTCAATGTTTACTTTTATATCAGGATTTGGAGTAAATCATAAAATTATCCATATCAAATTTGTTTTGGTCTCCCCTTCCCCCATGCCCTACCATGTCATTAATTGTCATAATTGTCTTGATATCAAAGTTGAATACATAGGATTCTTACTTCTCCATTCCTGTGATGCTTCACTAA